TACATGGTATTATAATTATAGAATTACAGTAAAAAAAATATTATACCCTTGTCATTTTCGATTTATTAATCATTTCTCCAAAAGCTGGCCTTTTAACCGATCATATTTGTATTAATAGAATCCCTAAATATGCCTTTTAAATAGGAGGGTGAAAACAAACTTGTTTCTCAAAAAAAGTAGAGACAAATTGTCTCTCCAAATTATCAATTAAGGTAAATCACTTATTATTTAACATACAACGTCATCATATGTCAAAAATCTATTTGCCACCTAAACATTTTTTAACAGAAAGCTAGTGTGTGATTACGTCATATGTTAAATAATTGGTGATTTTTCTTAATAGATAATTTAGAGAGGCTTTTTCTCTCTATATTTTTTTGAGAGGCAGATCTATCTTTACCCTCTTATTTGAGGGGCAAATTTGGTAGTTTTGAGAATTTATATCTTCACTTTAAAAAGTGCCACGTAGCAATATTATTTTATGTTTTCTAAAAAATGATATGAAGAAAAATATAACTAAATAAAATAATTTGTTTTCTTTTTTTTGTCTAAGTTCTCATTTGTATTGAAAAAAATATATAAAAAGTTTATTTTTTCTCAAAATAACTAATCTTAATTATTTAAGGTGGACTCATTTGTATTTTATAAATATCTTTTAGCCTATGTCTTTAATCATATGTTTAGGTTGAAGGAAATGGAAAAAGAGAGGAGTGGAGAGGAGAGGAAGATTTCTCAAGTGATTTGTAAGTTTGGCTTTTCTACTAAAATTCGAACTCTCTTCCACAACATGTTTATAGCTTTGAATTCACTCCAAACTGTATCTTATGAATGGGTAAAAGTTAATTTTTAAAGTACTTTTTAAATTCTCTACTACAATTACTTTTTCTACTCTAAAATAACTATCCTTACTTTAACCCTATCATTATTTATTTATTTTGATTGATTATCTTATCACAATAGTCTTATTTTATTTTTTAAATTTTTTTTATAAATAATTTAGAAAAATATATAAATAGTCCCTAACTCCTTAATTTTTTTTAAAAAATAATAACACAATAATTATTATGAAATAAAAAGAGCAGGAACATGGACTACCTTAAACTTGGATAACCTACTTCCAACCTAAGCTTTTATTTTAATCTACAAAAACTGATTTCTCAAGTGTTTTGCAACTTGTAAGCTTAAATATATAGTACATACTTAACGTTTTCCGAATTACAAGTGCCAAAATAGAGAGTTGCTGAGAAAAATGGTTTATATGGGAGTTGTGATGGAATAACATATCACAAACATGTGATGAAAATAAGTAGAATATATGTGAAGATTCATGAATTTCATAGACTAATCTTTAATTTGAATTTAAAATGGTATCTTGAACTCATATATGTGAGCTTATTCAAGCTCCCGCAGGCTTGATTAATAGTAGTATCAACGCTGAAGGGTAATCAGTGTTAGGCCTAGTATTGTTACAGTACAGACTCCCTTTGGGCTAGCACAGCGGAAGCCCTGGAAGGTTCATGATTGAGATAGAGCATGTCAGTTTCTCAGTAGGTGCACAGGGGTTCTTCTTCGCACCCAATTGCACAGTCCTTAGAAGTTGGGTGGTGTTACTCTCACTGGGGAGTTTATCACAATTCACAAGTGAATAGTGGACATTGTTAAGAAAAGTGGTTAACTTGGGGGTTTTGATGAACTCCTACGTTAAAAAGATATGATGAGAATAAATAGAATATATATGTGAAGACTTACAAACTCAATAAACTAACATTTTAGATTCTATGTGATATTTTAAACTCATATATATTAGATTTATTCGGGTTTTGCAAGTCCAATCTCTCAAAAAAAGTGAAAGGATTAATTTAATTGGAGATTAATTTTACTAACTTTACATTAAATGTTTAAAAGAAATCTTTGTCATGTATTCCTTTTTTTTTTTAATATTAAGCTTATTACTCATGCATATATTTTTAAAATATTTATTAGTATATACCTTGATTCAATATATTATATAATGTATTTATTAAAAAATTATTATTTTTTGTCTAAAATTAATAATAAACA